CAATTTAAAAACAGCAATATCAAAGATCAAAGGCCTGTCGAAAGAGATATGTCTTACATGCCCTGCGGAAAGATGATAGGACCTGCAAGGCACGGACTTCAGGTGGCAGAGTGTTCCAGAGTGATGGTGCCACTGCTGTCAAGGCTCTGCGTCTGGTTGCTGTTAGACGCAAGGTCTTGACACTGGGAATTTCCAACAAATCTTGGTCCTCAGAACGGAGGGATCTCTGGGGTTGGGAGGGGGTGAGGCGGTCCCTCAGGGACATCGGCCCCAGACCATGCAAGGCCTTAAAGGTGAGTTCCATCCCTTTGAAAGTGATCTGGTGCTCAATGGGTAACCAATGCAGCTGCAGAAGATTGGGGTGATGTGGCATCTCATCGGAATTCCTGCCAGAAGCCGAGCGGCTGCATTTTGTACCAACTTGAGCTTCCGGATCACCGACAGAGGAAGGCCAATGTAGAGGGCGTTACAGTAGTCCAGTCTTGAGATGACCATGGCTTGGATCACCGTAGCGAGGTCATCCCTGGACAGGGAGGGGGCCAGCCGTCTAGCCTGCCGCAGGTGAAAGAAGGCGGTCCTGCTCACGGTGGAGAGAGACCTGGGCCTCCATCCTCCGCAGAGGGTCCAAAAGGACCCCCAGACTCTTTACCAATGATGACGGGCTTAGCTACCCTCTTGGCCCTCCTCCCACTTCCCCCTTTGGCCTCTGTTTCATTCATAGGCTGCAAACAGAGCTCTAAGGGCAAAGATCCTCAGTGGGGAAAGGAGGCAAGGGGCAGAGCCAGGCTCTTCCTCCCAGGAGACTGTAAGCCTAGCCAGGGCTCTCCCTTCTTTCCAGGTCCATCAACACCTGAGAGACTCGAGATTGGGGGGAGGGAAGGGGATGTAGTGTTCCCGGCTCCTCAAGATCTGGGGGAAGGGCAAGTGCAGGAGGTTTTGGGACACTCCCCCGGGGACCATTTTTAAGGGTTGTATAATAGATAGAGGTTTTTTCCGGGGGAACATTTAATCCCACCAAAAAATAGAGGATAGGGATTTATTTGATACTAAAAATCCCAACAAAAATATAACAAGTAGGGGATTCTTATCTGGGGAAATAAAAATAATAATCCCAAAAGTAGCAAGATGCCGCTTAGATTTGAATGTGGCTTCTGAGATTTACAAGCCCCAAAACCAAAAGGCTGTGATAGACAGTTAGGACTTTCTTTTGGCTGAAAAACCCCTTTTTGAAAGCGCACTGGCACCCACCCACTTAGAAGTGCTGATAAGCCCTTGGCTTATTTGAGGTAACTTATGAAAGAGTGTGATGGTATTAGCCCTCTGGCTTGTGTTTCTGAGGTACCCTTTCAAAGATAGTTCTTTAAAACAAACGCTGCCACCACTAAGTTCTTGAATACTGCTTAAAGCTGCTTTTGAACCTTTTAAGCACAGAGGCACACTTGAGTCAGATGTAATGAAAAATAAGCAATGAAGTTTATTTACTAGAACAGGAACAATTCAGGTACAAAGCTTGGCTGTTTTAGAGATTTGTTTTGAAAGCGTGTGGTTACATAAACCGTTCTGACTTAGTTACACAAGAAACTCTTCTTTCTCCCAATACTGACAGGATAGTTTCTCTGACAATAATTCTACAGGATAGTCCTAACCTGGATCTATCTTTCTACTTCCCAGCTATCTTCTTAATAGCTGTTAACTTCCTACTAGCTATCCCCGCTAACAAAACTGGCCAATCTCTGGCCTTTCTCTTTCTAACCCTCCACACCACTCCAATCTCCTAACATCCTCTCCCTTCGACACTCAAGTTCAATCTCCTCACAGGAATTAAAAAACCTCTCCTTAAAATACATTTTTTTCCTCTTGCCAAGTTAGGCTCTGCCCAGTCTAATTTAGCCAATCACATTCCTCCCTCATTTCCCTCCAAAGGCTGCTTTTACTAAGCACACCCCCTCCAGGAAATGAGTGACTAAAATGGATTCCCCCGACACCCTCTCCAAGATGGCTGCTGAACCTCTTGGTTCTACTTTTTCCAAGGTTTCTCTAAGCCTAACTGGTAGTGGATTCACTACACCCAACCTTTAGATAGCTTTGCAGTCATGCCGGCCAAATGACCTTGGAGATTTCTACGGACAACGCCGGCTCTTCGGCTTAGAAATGGAGATGAGCACCACACCCGAGTCGGACACGACTGGACTTAATGTCAGGGGACAACCTTTACCTTTAATGATACTAATTATAGTGTGCCTATATAATAATGATAATACGTATAGATATTTATATTAGTAATAACATAATGTATATTAATAATAGTAGTGGTATAAAATATGTCTATATAAGAAAAGCTATACCTATAATAACAGTGAAAATTTGTTTGTTTATTTGTGGAGTGTGTGTGTTGTAGGTGATTACCAATTAGCACCCACTTCCAGATAGCCCTGTGACCCCCACAGACAATGAATTTGGACCTAACGTGGGCCACACACTCATCAGGACCAGCTATAAATATTGGCAGGGTTTGGGGGCTATGACGGAGGATAAAAGGAGTTATAGTTTACCTACACCCTAGCACACTTTCTAGTGAGACTATTCATAAAATCCAAAACCAAACAAAGACTATTTCTAATGTTTCTCCTTACAAAATACCTAACCCAGGCATCGCTGGGAACCCAAGTGAGTAAGTTGATACCTTGACTTAGGAATTCCATTTATTCTGTGACCGAGTTCTTCACTCAAAACACTCTCAACTCAAAATGAATGTTTACCTTGAAATGCATTGAAACACTAATTCTTATTTATTTTATTTCTTTCATGCATTTCTACTCTGTCCTTCTCCCTACAAATGGGGACTCAGGGCGGCCTCGCACGCATCATGTGATGCTGTCAGCATATAAACAACAAAATTAAAACAGTAAAAATCATTAAAACACATTATTATAATTTGTACCAGACACTCGCCCCCATGTTTTAAAATAGGAAACTAACATGCACATTCACATAGAAAAGGAAAGTTCAACTTTTAAAATGGTAGAAGCACAAAGCTGTGGCAAAGAAGCACATTCGAGGCAACAACATGTGTGTTGGCTTTAAATTCCTTTAAAATGACTTCCCTAGATCTAGACACTAGGCTCCTATTGATGCAGGCCAAAATCCAATTGGCTTTTTTTGCCGACACATCACATTGTTGGCTCATGTTTAACCTGTTGTTCACGTGGACTCCAAGATCTTTTTCACACGTATGCTCTCGAGCCATTCCTCGTCCCCCATTCTGTATCTTTGCATTTCGTTTTTTCTGCCAAAGTGGAGTATCTTGCATTTGTCCCTGTTGAACGGCCCATCTCTCTAATCGGTCAAGATCGTTTTGAATCCTGCTCCTGTCCTCTGGAGTCTTGGCTCTCCCTCCCAATTTGGTGTCGTCTGCAAACTTGATGATCCTGCCTTCTAGCCCTTCATCTAAGTCATTAATAAAGATGTTGAACAGGACCGGGCCCAGGGGGGAACCCTGCGGCACTCCGCTCGTCACTTCTTTCCAGGATGAAGAGGAAGCATTGGTGAGCACCCTCTGGGTTCGTCCATTTAACCAATTACCGATCCACCTCACCATAGTTTTGCCTAGCACACATTGGACTAGTTTCCTTGCCAGAAGGTCATGGGGGACCTTGTCGAAGGCCTTCCTGACATCCAGACACGCTCCATCCACTGCATTCCCCGCATCTACCCAGCTTGTAACTCTATCAAAAGAAGAGATCAGATGAGTCTGGCATGACTTGTTTTTGATAAATCCATGTTGACTCTTAGCGATGACCGCATTTGTTTCTAAGTGTTTGCAGACCACTTCATTGACAATCTTTTCCAGAATCTTGCCTGGTATCGACGTGAGGCTGACCGGACATTGGTCATTGTTTGGGTCATCCTTTTTTCCCTTCTTGGATTGGGACCACATTGGCCCCCCTCCAGTCTGCTGGAACTTCTCCTGTTTTCCAAGAACTCTCAAAGATTATTGCCAATGGTTCCGAAATGATTTCTGCTAGTTCCTTCAGTACTCTTGGGTGTAGTTGATCTGGCCCTGGGGACTTGAACTTGTTTAGAGGGGCCAGGTATTCTTGGACGACTTATTTTCCAATTTGGGGTTGGATGACCTCTAATCCCTCATCCACTCTATCTTGCTGAGGTTGAAGATGACTTTCTTTTTGTGAGAAGACTGAGACAAAGAAGGCATTAAGTAGTTATGCCTTTTCCCTATCCCCTGTCAGCACTGCCCCATCTTCTCCTCGAAAAGGCCCTATCACCTCCTTGTTCTTCCTTTTTCTACTGACATAAGAAAAGAAGCGCTTTTTTATTGTTTTTAATGTCCCTGGCAAGCTTGAGTTCATTTTGTGCTTTAGCCTTGCAGACCTTTTTCCTACAGGAGTTGGCTATTTGTTTGAATTCTTCTTTGGTGATTTCTCCCTTTTTCCACTTCTTGTGCATGTCTCCTTTGTGTCTTAGCACAGTTAGAAGTTCTTTGGACATCCATTCTGGCTTCTTTGTCCTATACCTGGCTACTCTAAACAAATTCAAGTCTCTGGGGTCAGATGAACTGCATCCAAGAGTATTGAAGAAACAATCAAAAGTCATTTCAGAACCACTCACAATAAATAATCACATACATTCTTGGAGAACAGAAAACCCAGCAGAAGACTAGAGGAGGGCTAATGTTTTTCCTCTCTTCAAGAAGGGAAAAAAGAGGATTCAACGATTGTCCAGTCAGCCTGCTATCAAGACCAGGAAGGATTCTGGATCAGATCACCAAGGAGGCAGTCTGTAATCACTTGGAAAAGAAGGCTGGGATCACTAAAAATCAACATGGATTTCTCAAAAACAAGCCATGTCAGACTAAGATTATCTCTCTTTTGAAATAGTTACAAGCTTGGTAGATGCAGGGAATGTGGTGGAGGTAGCACATCTTGATTTCAGTAAGGCCTTCCTTCGACAAGGTCCCTCATGATCTTCTTGAAAACTAATCAGATGTCAAGGGTTTCTGTCCAGTGTGAATAATTTGATGTCCACGTAGATTTTTAAATGATTAATCCCCAGGGTGTGACCTTTGAGGTGTATCTAAATTTGCAATTTGAGTGAAGCTCTTTTCACACTCTAGGCATATATAGGGTTTCTCCTCAGTGTGAATCCTTTGATGTAAATGTAAACTTATACTGTCAGTGAAGTAAGTTCCACCCTTAGTGAAGCTCTTTCCACACTTCAGGCATGTATAGGCTTTCCCCCCAGTGTGTGTCCTTTGATGTGAATATAGCTGTGAACTCTGAGCAAAGCCCCGTCCACATTCCAAGCATGTATAGGGTTTTTCCCCAGTGTGTGTCCTTTGGTGTGACTGTAGGCTTCCACTCTGAGTGAAGCTCTGGCCACACTCCAGACATGTATAGGGTTTCTCCCCAGTGTGAATCCTTTGATGTATACGTAGACTTCCACTGCCACTGAAGCTCTTTCCACACTCCAGGCATTTATAGGGTTTCTCCCCAGTGTGAGTCCTTTGATGTAAATGTAGCTGTGAACTGTGAGTGAAGCTCTGTCCACATTCCAAGCATTTATAGGGTTTCTCCCCAGTGTGAGTCCTTTGATGTAAATGTAGCTGTGAACTGTTTGTGAAACTCTGTCCACATTCCGAGCATGTATAGGGTTTTTCCCCAGTGTGAGTCCTTTGATGTGAACGTAGGCTTCCACTCTGAGAGAAGCTCTTTCCACACTCCAGGCATATATAGGGTTTTTCTCCAGTGTGAGTTCGTTGGTGTCTACGTAGGTCTCCACTGCCAGTGAAGTTCTTTCCACACTCCAGGCACATATAGGGTTTCTCCCCAGTGTGAGTCCTTTGATGTGAACGTAGATCTGAACTATGAGTGAAGCTCTGTCCACATTCCTTGCATGTGTAGGGTTTTTCCCCAGTGTGAATTCTTTGATGTGCACGTAGGTCTGCACTCCGAGTGAAACTCTTTCCACACTCCAGGCACATATAGAGTTCATCCTCAGTGTGAATCCTTTGATGTAAACGTAGGCTTCTACTCTGAATGAAGCTCTTTCCACATTCCAGGCATTTATAGGGTTTCCCCCCAGTGTGAGTCCTTTCATGTGAATGTAGCTGTGAACTCTCAGCAAAGCTCTGTCCACATTCCAAGCATGTATAGGGTTTTTCTCCAGTGTGAGTCCTTTCATGTGAACGTAGCTGTGAACTCTGAGCAAAGCTCTGTCCACACTCCAAGCATGTATAAGGTTTTTCTCCAGTGTGAGTCCTTTGATGTCTATCTAAACTTACTTTCTTAGTGAAGCTCTTTCCACACTCCAGACATGTATAGGGTTTTTCCCCAGTGTGAGTCCTTTGGTGTGAACGTAGGCTTCCACTCTGAGTGAAGCTCTGTCCACACTCCAGGCATGTATAGGGTCTTTCTCCAGTGTGAGTCCTTTGATGTGAACGTAGGTCTCCATTCCGAGTGAAGCCCTTTCCACACTCAGGGCATATATAGGGTTTTTCCCCAGTGTGAATTCTTTGATGTAAACATAGATTTGAAGGCTGAGTGAAGCTCTTTCCACATTCCAGACATGTAAAGGGTTTCTCCCCAGTGTGAGTCCCTTGGTGTGAATGTAGGCTTCCACTCTGAGTGAAGCTCTTTTCACACTCCATGTATGTATAGGGTTTCTCCCCACTGTGAGTTCTTTGATGTAAATGCAACCCTGTTTCAACACGTCAGACATTCATAAAGCTTCTCCCATGTGTGAATCCTTTCATGTCACTGAAGACGATCGCTCTGAGTGAATCTCTTTCCACACTCCAGGCATCTAGATGCTTCCTCCTTCACAGTGATATGTTTAATTGAAATACAGATACTTATTATTTACTTATTTACTATATTTCTATCTTGCTGTATCTCACCCCAAGGGGGGACTTAGAGTGGCTTACTTGACTCTTCTTTTTGCCTTTGTTATCTGTAAGTGAGATAAAAAATAAGTGAGATCTTATTTTTAAGTAACATTATCACAATTATTATTATTATTATTATTAATTTACTTTTATCCTGCTTTTTTCCCATGGTTGGGACTCAAAGCTGCGTACATGGCTAACATAGCAAAATAACACAAAAAATCAACAAAACATCATAAGCCACAGAAAACAAGACACGATACATATAAAAAAAACAAATGAATTAATTACAATGAACATTATAACAAATAGGGGATTATTCTTGAACAAATCCCAGCAATGTGGCTTCTGGTATTGATTAGCCAAAAATTAAAAAAAACAACTGTATTGTCGAAGGCTTTCAAGAGGGATCCTCACACCTCTGCAGGAGTCTACCGTGTACCATGCAGCTGTGGACAAGTCTCCATAGGGACCACCAAACGCAGCAGCATTGCCCAGACACGAATCAAGGAACATGAAAGACACGGCAGACTCCTTCAATCAGAGAAATCAGCCATAGCAGAGCACCTGATGAATCACCCTGGACACAGCATATTATTTGAGAACACAGAAATGCTGGACCACTCTCACAACTACCATGTCAGAATACACAGAGAAGCCATTGAAATCCACAAGCATGTGGACAATTTCAACAGAAAAGAGGAAACCATGAAAATGAACAAAATCTGACTACCAATATTTAAAAAACTCTAAAATTATAACAGCACAACAACAGAGAGGAAACAAACAAGAACATCTAATCACCTCACAACAAAAGATTGCTCCAGGCACTGCCAGGCCATTATATGCTAATCAAGGTGGTCAGTTGAAACATTTACACCTAGCTCCCACAGACAAGAGTCCTTTGTCTCACCCTGGTCATTCCATAGATATATAAACCCTTTTCCTAGTTCCAACAGACCTCACTACCTCTGAGGATGCTTGCCATAGATGCAGGCGAAACGTCAGGAGAGAATGCCTCTAGACCATGGCCATATAGCCCGAAAAAACCTACAACAACCCATAAAAAAAACTGTTAGATAGAAAGCTGACACTTTCTGCCTGGCCGGAAAAAAACTCCTTTTTGAAAACGCACTGGCACACACCAACTTAGCAGTACTGATAAGCCCTTGGCTTTCTTGAGATAGTTTGTGAAAGAGTGTGATTGTGTTAGACCTCAGGCTTGAGTTACTGAGGTACCCTTTAAATTAGAACTTTAGAACATACGCTGCTACCATTAAGTTCTGCATAAAGCTGCTTTTTAACCATTATGCACAGAGGCACACTTGAATCAGATGTGATGAACCAGGAACAATAAAGTTTATTTATAAGAACAGGAACAATTCAGGTATTAAGCTTGGCTGTTACAGAGATTTGTCTTGAAAGCGTAACGGTTACAGAAACAGTTCTGACTTTGTTACACAAGAATACTGACAGGATAGTTTCTCTGACAGTTATTCTTCAACAGCACAGATAGTCCTAACCTGGATCTATCTTACTACTTCTCAGCTATCTTCCTAATAGCTGTAAACTCCTCCACTAGAGAATTTGACCAATCTCAGGCCTTTTCTACTAATCCTCTACACCACTAATCTTCAAACACCCTCTCCCTTCAAAACCCAAGTTCAATCTGCTCACAGGGATTTTAAATACGCCTCTTTAAAATACATTTTTTTCCTCTTGCCAAGTTAGGCTCCGCCCACTCTAACTTAGCCAATCACATCCCTCTTTCATTTCCCTCCAAAAGGCTGCTTTTACTAAACACACCCCCTCCAGGAAATGAATGATAAAATGGATTCCCTTGGCACCTCTTCCTAAGATGGCTGCCGACTCCTTGGACCTACTATTTTTCAAGGCTTCTCTAAGCACCGGGATTGTGGCGCAGCTGGCTGAGTGTCAGCTGCATTAAGATCACTCTGACCAAAAGGTCATGAGTTCGAAGCCAGCCCGGGTTGGAGTGGGTTTCCAACCAATTGTGTGTAGCCTGTTGTCGACCTTTGCAACCCGAAAGACAGTTGCATCTGTCAAGTAGGAAAATTAGGTACCACCTTAAAGTGTGGGGAGGCTAAATTAACTGATTTATGAGACCATAAAGAAGACTCCAGCAAAGCATTCCAGCGGGGAAGCATGCGGGGAATGCGGAAGTGCTTCATCAGCGTCGCAGATGGACGATGAAAGCGACAGCTCCCCTGGCGGCCAAAAAAGTTAAATAGCCTCTGTGTATGTCTGTATATGTTTGTATGTCAAAAATTGGCATTGAATGTTTGCCATATATGTGTACACTGTAATCCGCCCTGAGTCCCCTGCGGGGTGAGGAGAAGGGTGGGATATAAAAGCTGTAATTGATAAATAAATAACTGGGAATAGATTCACGACAAACATCATTAAAAATCCTCAAAACCTCAGACCAGTGAGATTATTCATTAAACAATTGTATTGCACTCCAAGACATCTGTATTATATTGGCAAGAAGAATGCATTGTTGTAGTTGTCTGACCACTTTCTATTCCAGGTCATCACAAAAGGCCTGGTTCCATAAAAAGGTTTTAATTTGCAACCAAAAGACCAGTAAGGAGGGGGCCGATCACATCCCTCTAGGGAGGGAGTTCAAGCCGTGGGGCCACCACTGAGAAGACCCTCTCTCTCGTTCCCACCAAGCGCACTTGTGATGCTGGTGGGACCAAGAGAAGGGCCTCTCCTGATGATCTCAGGGCTTCTGCAGATTTGTAGGAGGAAATGTGCTCCTCAAGTAGCCTGGGGCCAAAACCATTTAGAGCAGTGGTTCTCAACCTTCCCTAATGCCGCGACCCCTTAATACAGTTCCTTATGTTGTGGTAACCCCCAACCATTATTTTCATTGCTTCTTTATAACTGTAATTTTGCTACTGTTATGAATCGTAATGTAAATATCTGATATGCAGGATGTATTTTCATTTACTGGACTCTGGACAGTATTCTATCTTTGTTTGAATCCACAGTGATCTCTGGATGTAGGTGAACTACAACTCCAAAACTCAAGGTCAATGCCCACCAAATCCTTCCAGTATTTTCTGTTGGTCACGAGAGTTCTGTGTGTCAAGTTTGGTTCAATTTCATCATTGGCGGAGTTCAGGATGTTATTTGATTGTAGGTGAACTATAAATCCCAACAATTACAACTCCCAAATGACAAAATCAATTACCCCAACCCCGCAACCCCACCAGTATTGAGATTTGGGCGTATCGGGTATTTGTGCCCAATTTGGTCCAGTGAGTGAATACACCCTGCATATCAGATATTTACATTACGATTCATAACAATAGCAAAATGACAGTTATGAAGTAGCAA